AGCAGATACTAAATAGAGAAAAGCTTTTGTATTTTGGAAAGAGCCTTGAAACATAGACCCGCTGGCTCCTAGGTGAGGGTTTAAAAAAAATTTCGTCAAAGTGTGTATAAATATTAAATATGGGGATTAGCAGGTGGCATAGTGGTTAAGGCGCTGTGTTCCAACATGGTTCGAGTCCTGGATCTGGTGACTGGAGAATCATGCTGGACGTACGTGTGTTTGCAAATCACAGGAGGAGATTGGAGAAAGGATTGCGGTACTGCCATCCTCCTGGGGGTGATTTCTCACTTTTCTTCTCACTGTCTTTCTCTCTCTGTCTTTCTCTGGGGGGTGCACAGGCCCTATGGCAAAAACCCTAAAAAAAAGTTAGAAAAAAATTTTTTTCACCCAAATACACTCTAATCCCTTATTATTCGAACTTTTAAAGTCTCCTTGTGTATAGTTTATAAAGGATTAAGGGCTGACTGATAGGACCTTAATCTGAGTTATTGTGTTAATTTTTTTTTTGAGCGGTTTTGTGCTATAGGGTGCCTAGTTTCTTGCTAGTTCTCTCTCCTCTCTCCCTGGTCTATTTATTTATTTATTTATTTTTATAGAGAGATTTTTGCTGTAGGGCACATGTGCCTGCTGGAGACAGCGAGAAATCACCCCCCCTCAGGGGCATGCTGCAGTCCCTCCTCTATTCTCTTCTTGGTATTTTGGACACTCACACTTGTACATACACATGCCCAGTGTGAGTTTAAGCCCTTGGGTCGAGGTCAAGGACTCAAATTGCAGTCGGCTACTTGGCAATCCAATGGTGTAACCATTAGACCATCTGCTGGTACCTCCCTGGTCTAATTAAAACAGAATAGTAATGAGTGAAATTGTTTAAATTTTTTTAAAGTATTGTTTTATTTAACTTTATTTACTTATTTGTTTGTTTTTATTTGACCAAGAGGGACAGAATGAGAGAGAGAGAGAGAGAGAGAGAAGGTGAGAAAGCAAGCCACCAGTCCAGGACTCGAACTGCAGTTGGCCATGTGAAAGTCCAGCTCCCGTAACCACCAAACCACCTACTAGCCCCAAGTTGTAAAGGATTTTTAAATAAATAATTCTTAAAAAGAACTCTTTGGGGACCAGCAGTTAGCGTAATGGCTATGTCGCTGAACTCCCACGTAGTTGACCGTGGTTCGAGTCCCGGACCCAGTGGTTTAAACTCAGGCTGGTCGCGTGTGCATGTGTTGCCCAAGATCCCTAGAGGAGAATGGAGAAGGGATTGTGGTGTCACCATCCCTCCTGGGGGGTGATTTCTTGTTTTCAGTCTCACTGTCTCTCTCTTTCTCTGGCCAGCGCATGCGCCCTGTAGCAAAACCTCTCCTTCCCCCCCCAAAAAAAGAACAACTCTTTGATCTCATTCTGATCATTAATAATTTTAATTAATTTTAGTTTCAATTGGCTTTATAGGTACTTCAGTATACTGGAGTGGTTATTAAACAGGGCAGTTTTGTACCCCAAGGGATATCTGGAGATGTCTGGAGACATTTTTGGAGATTTTGGTTATGTCGAGTCATTTTTGGTTGTCAAAACTGGCAGATGGTTCTACTGTATCTAGTGACTAGTGCTGCAGATGAAGGTCCTTATCACCTAGTTTCTACAATTAAATTTTGCTGTATTTGTTTTTTTGACATATCTGTCTGTCTCTCTCCATTAACCTGTTCATGACTCTTAACATTCTAGAAGACCAGGGATGGCTGCTAAACATACTGCATAGGGTAGCACCTCAAAACAAGAGTTATATTGGGACCAGCAGTTGGCGTAATGGCCATGTCGCTGGGCTCCCATATGTAGTCGACCGTAGTTCGAGTCCCGGACCTGGTGGCTTAAAACTCACGCCAGGCGCGTGTGTGTGTGTGTGTGTGTGTGCATTCCCAAAATCCCTAGAGGAGAATGGAGAAGGGATTGCGGTGTGGCCATCCCCCCTGGGGGGGCGATTTCTCGCTTTCTGTCTCTCTGTCTGTCTCTGTCTGTCTGTCTGGCGAGCGCACACGCCCTATAGCAAAAACCTCGCAAAAAAAAAAAAAAAGAAATGAGTTATACTAAGGCCTATAGTATCTGTAGTGCTGAGGTTGTGAGACTCTGATTTAGAACTGTTTAAAGCTGTGGAGGGGCTAGCAGGGAGCTTAGTGGTTAAGGAGCTGGACTGCCACATGATTGACCACAGTTCAAAGCTTGGACCTGGTGGCTTAAATTTCATGTCAGGTGCATGTGCGTGTGTGCCCAAAATCCTGAGAGGAGAATGGAGAAGGATTTGATGGGTGGCCATCCCCTCTGGGGGGGTGATTTCTTGCTTTCTGTCTCTGGCAAGCACATGCACCCTATTGCAAAACTCCCCAAAGTTAAATGAATACGTAAAATCATGGAAAGCATACATTTTGAAAAAGCATTAATAACTGAAGATTCCTGGTAACATAAACATTTTATTTGGCCAAAACAGCAATAAAAATAGGATTATTGTGAGCAGCAGGTGGTGTAGTTGTTAAGATGCTGGACTCCCACTTGGCCAACTGCATTTCGAGTCCTGGATCCGATGGCTTGAAAATCACACTGTGTCTGTGTGTGTGTGTGTGTGTGTGTGTGTGTGTGTGTGTATGCATGCATGCATGCATGCCCAGAATCCTGAGAGAAAGGATTGTAGTGTGGCCATCCCTCATGGGGGGGTATTTCTCCGTTTTCCTGTCTGTCAAGCGAGCACCTGCATTCTATGGCAAAAGACCTTTTTTTAAAAAATGAGATTATTACCAACAGAAAAAACGTTTACATGATGCAATAATTGCAATTTCTATCTTCCCTGAATAAAGCCAAAATACGTAATATTAAGAATCTGACTGAATTTGAACAGGAGACATCTTGTGGAAACATTCTTCAGCTCTTCAGTTCTTAACAGACTTTATCTCCCTACCCCCCAAGCATTCTAGGAAAAATTTAGGTGGTATAGAAATGACAGTCCATGTTCTCAACCACCTAATTTTTTCTTTTTTATTGCCAGAGGGTGAGAGAGCAAGCATACCCTCCCCCAACAGGACATAGTTAACACTGCAATTCCTTTTCCACCAGTTTTCTTTCCTGTCAGAATTGTGTGCACGGACACACATTGTATCTGGTGTTTTTTTTCAAGCTGTCGGAGCTAGGATTCAAACTGCAGTCGGCTATGTAAGATCTGGCTCCCAATGCATAGTGCTACACATGCAGGTCCTTATTACCTGAATTCTACAGTTAAATTTTGATATATTTATATTTTGACATATCTGTCAGTCTCTTTCCATCAACCAGTCCAGTACCCTTAACATTCTTTCATTTTTATTATTATTTTTAAAAGAACTATTTATTTATTTAATTCCATTTCTTCTTCTTATTTTTTTGATTTGGCCAGAGAGAGAAAGGGAAAGGGAGAAAGCAAGCTGCCAGGTCTGGGACTGGAACCATGGTCAGCCATGTGGGAATACAGCGCCTTTAACCACCATGCCACTTGCTGGCCCCTAGTACCCTTAACATTCATATCAATAGCGTGTTTGTTATTAACTGGAATCTGAGATAACTATCTATCTATTTTTTAAAATTTATGTACAGCAGAAGACACAACTTTGAAGTATACAGGTTGGTGAATTTTGACCAGTTTGTATGTCTGTTTTACAGAAACCCCTATCAAAATACAGAACATTGTCATTATATGAAATTTCTTCATGTATCTTCCTCTTTTCAATTTTATATGAGAGCAGCATTTTAATTGAAAATTTGATTAATTCTTTTTTAAAAATTTGTTTTAGGGTGTTTGAGGGAGAGAGAGATGAGAAAGCACCTCCCCATAGGGGGATGGTCACATTGAAGTCTCTCCCCCTCATATCGCCTTTTGGCATTTTGGGCATGCATATACAAGCACCCATTGTGTTTTTCAAGCTATTGATTCTAGAACTTGAACTGTGTGGTTTGCATGTGGGATCCAGCTGCCTTAACTACCACTCCACTAGCTGGCCTCAAGACTTATTTCTAACATATACCTCTTAAAATTTTGTGACATCCTAGGTAAAAAGTAATAGTCCCTTTTAAGATAGTCATTAAATGTTTGCTGATACTACTTCTGTTCCCTTAAGGATATTAAACGAAATGACAGTTTTGAATATCTTAAAGAAATTTATTTGCTTTTATAGAAATAAGTTTATAAATAGGTTTTTGTTTAAGGGCAGTAGCTTCAAGCTGTTGTGAATATTTTAGGGAGTAAAATAAAGAGCTCTTGTGACTTTAAGAGTTTTTCATAAGGTAGTGTTTGTACTCTTCTTGCATACTCATATAAAGGCTCTTTCAGTTCTCCCTGGAGAGTTCCCATAACACAGTGAAAAAGACTATATACCTCTATGAAATTTTCCATTTAATTATTTATTGTGTTAATTGCTGTATTTTGTACCAATTTAGAATTTTTCAAGTAGAAGGATGTACACTTAGCAGATTTCCTACTTTAAAATAAATGCATATGTACATGTTGTATAAATGAAGAGAACTCCTACAGACCATAAATATGCTTGCTTTTATTTATTTACTTTTGTTTATAAGTAATAGAATGTGTGGGCTTGCCAGAGGTATGGAGGAAGCACCCCTCCCCCTAACAGTGTGTGGTCACACCACAATCCCTTCTCTGTTTCTTTATCCTGTTGGGATTTAGGGCACACACCTGGCGTGTTTTTCAAGTCACCAAGGCTAGAATTGTAATGTAGATGACTCCCTTAAACACTAGGCTGTGGGGCTGACCTTTTAAATAACTTAACAGGAAAGTGAGGTTGGAACTTTTTGTTTAAAATGTTTAAAATGATCTTTGAATAATTAATAAAGAGTATGCTGCAAAAACAGCATACAAAACAGCAACGCTTTTCGTCATTTCTGAAAGCTTTCCAGTTTTCCCTAGAAGCATAGATCTATTTTAAATTTTTTGTGTTTCTGTCATTAAACACTAATTTTCCTCCCCAAAGGAATCCAGAACACTGGCTGAAATTGCAAAAGCAGAGTTGGATGGCACCATTTTGAAGAGCAGACCTCTCCGAATTCGTTTTGCTACACATGGAGCAGCTCTGACAGTCAAGAATCTTTCCCCAGTTGTTTCCAATGAGCTTCTAGAACAAGCATTTTCCCAGTTTGGCCCAGTAGAAAAAGCTGTTGTTGTTGTAGATGATCGTGGTAGAGCTACAGGAAAAGGATTTGTAGAATTTGCAGCAAAACCTCCTGCACGAAAGGCTCTGGAAAGATGTGGCGATGGGGCATTCTTGCTCACCACGTAAGTTTTAAATATCTTGTCCTTCTATCCAGTTATATCCATTTCCAGTGGGTTCTTTTGGAAATCTGTCTTGCTTTACCAGTTCATACTGTCTTGATACATGTTAAGTAGGTAACCGAGTGAATACTCAGTATCCTATAAGTAAGGAAGTTTTGTATACTAATGGGAGTCGAGAGCCATGCTTTCTTCAAATTTTAGTATATCGATTCAGGAGTGTTTTGTGTTATTTACCTATTGAACAGCTAGTATATGCAAAACAAAATCTTGTTTATTTTTTAAGAGATTTTTGCTATATGGCAAATCTCTCTTGCTGGAGAGACAGAAAGCAAGAAATCACCCTCCAGAGAGGAGTAATCCCTTCTCCTCCATTCTCCTTTTAGGATTTTGGATATGGCACGCACACGTGCCTGGGATGAGTTCGGAGTCTCCTGGTCTGGTACTCAAACCATGGTTGGTTATGTGAGAGTCTAGTAATGTCACAATCACGCCATCTGCTGGTCTCCAAAGCAAAAATCTTATATACTTAATCCGTTAAAAATTTTTTTAGAGAGAGATTTTCGGTACCAACAGGTGAGATGGTGGTTGAGGGCGCTGGACTACCACATGGCTGACCATGGTTTGAGTCCCAGACCTGGAGGCTTGCTTTCTCACTTTCTCTTTCTCGCTCTCTTTCTCTCTCTGGAAATATTAGAATAATAATAATAAGTAGAGTTAAATAAAAACAAGAAAACATGGTTTTGCAGTAGGGCATGTGTGCTTGCTAGACAAAGAGAGACAGAGAGACAGAAAGCAAGAAATCATTCCCCAGGGGAGGATGACCATGCTGCAGTTTCTTCTCCATTTTCCTTTTTGGATTTTGGGTACGCACGCCTGGTGTGAGTTTTAAGCCTCTGAATTTGGGACTTGAACTGTGGTAGACTAATGAGGAAGTCCAGTGATGTAACCATTACACCATCTGCTGGTCCCTCTTTTAATACATTTTATTCAGCTTTGAGGTATAATTTACATACATTAAAAAGCATCCTATGGGGATTTTGCTGCAAACTGCACCACCAGGCTGGGCTAAGAATTTAATTTTTAAAAAAGAGCTATTTATTATAATTTTATATATTATTTACTATTTTTGAAAATTTGATGAGAGAGAGAGGGGGAAAGTGAGAAAGCAAGTCGCCAGGTCCAGGACTTGAACCATGGTTAGCCATGGTTAGCCTCAACTGCCACACCACTTGCCAGACCCAAGAATTTAATTTTTTAATACTGATATCCACATGTTCTAGCATCATTAACTGGAAAGATTAGGAGTTTTCCTTGCAAGTTTATTAAAACTCTGAAAAGAAAATTTGCTTTTTCTTTTCATTGATAAGGATGTTCCCAAACTATATTTACTTTAATTACCTTATTTATCCTAAGCTTTGAAATCATGTACCATAGGGGCCAGCAGGTCATATGGTGGTTGGGATGCTGGACTCTCCCACGTGGTTGACCGTAATTCAAGTCCTAGACCCGGTGCTTGCTCTCTCATTTCCTCTCTCTCTCTCTCTCTCTCTCTCTCTCTCTCTCTCTCTCTCTGAGTGCACATATCCTATAGCAAAATAAATAAATAAATGATAATAAAGTTAAATAATTTTTTGAAAATTCATGTAGCATAAATTGTGTAACTATTTTTTCTTTTTTTTTCAAAATTTTTTGGCTATTGCAGATTTATTTATTTAGTTAGTTTTTCTATAGGGCATGTGTGCTTGCCACAGAGAGAGAGAGAGAAAGTGAGGAGTCACCTGCCAAGAGGAAC